TTCCCATCGTGGCAATTGAGTCTAACTGAAAACCAATATCGAAGTGTACGAACAGATTTGGGGGGCCCACAAAGCTGGAGCTCATCGTGTGACAATGTTGGATTCTAAGCAGCTCTTCTGGGGCTTTCCCATACCGATGGCACCTGAGAGTTCTAGAAACGGCGATAGACAGAAAGAGAGAGAAGAAATAAATATAGCAGATTATCGCTTCTAGGTCCCACATCAGGGCTTCAGATCTGTTCATATCTCATTTCTTCCCCCCCACCTGGTCCCCTCCCAAACGGTCGGGTCTTGTCGCCACCTGGCACTGAGCGATTTCGGCAAGGCCGGCAGCCCATCCTCATCCACATCGAGCACCAGCTCTTGCCTCGTGCGGGCGACGGATCCTCACCGGTCAGCCGGTCGAACCGAAGAAGGAAAGGATTCTCTGAGGACCTCGTGGATTCACCCGCCCAGATTGGATCCCAAACAGCTCCGGTTTCGGGGAAACGCAACCAGGTTGAGCTGGTTGATCCAATCGCGAGGTCAAGGAATCTCAAACAGGATCAAAGAGGTATATTGTTCTTGTGATTAAGCAAGCGCGCTGGGATCTGTTCATCACCAACCTGGAAAGTAGATCTTCTGTTCTGACTGGATATGAGTCGGTACCTGGTGGAAAGAAGAAAAAGCACATCTGAGGACCCAAAGCCATGCTGAGTCTCCATCCAGCAACTTGGTGCCCGCAAAAAAATTGTCCATGGCGAGGTGTATATATATATATATATATTATATATAGTGACGGACACATACTTAGAACCCCATGATTGTTCCAAATGATTAAATTTCCATACTAAGAACCCTTTGGCCCTGTGAATACTTAGAGCCATCCAAGAATTGCAGGCCAAGAATACTTAGAACCCCCAAAATAATACCAGGTTCATAAGTATGAGTCCGTCACTTTTTTGTATATATATATATATATACACGTCGGTGCGGTCGCCCCACCAGGGGCATCGCAGCGGCGCCTTTCTACGCTCCAGCCTAAAGGTTCCGCTAGACATGGCGTCCGACCATGTGCTCATCACAATTCACACTCCTCAAAATCTATATATGATCCAAGTTTTCAATGGCCTTCATGGCCAAAGCGACGGGCTTCCTTCGAGCCTGGATACGTCACTCCGAACTTGGAAATTCCGGGGCTATACTGGACTGCCTTCAAATATGCACGGATGTCATCCATCTTCGAGGATTTGACTCCGCTGTTGGTGACCCATGTCAAGTAATCCCTCATTTCTTTACACGAGTCAGCTTCTGTGACCATCATATCGTATGTCATGTCACGTTTGGCTACGTTTGGTAGCTCACAAATGGTGGAGCCCCACTGCTTCAGTGACTGAAGACCTTCAGGCAGGCGGATCTCTGTTCCAGCATGAGAAGAGTAGCCGACCTGACGTGGAAGCACCGGTGCTTGACTCATCTTCTTTGGGGTCGGAGTCACACTTTGAGTCAAAGCAATCACCTCAAACTGATCCAGCTCTTCCTTCGCAGACACCACAGAACTCGTCAATCTGCGTTTTGAGCTGTCATTCATCGATCCTTGCGCTGTGTCGGTCGAAGTGGAAGCGGATGCTTCGTGCAGCAGCTGCTCCAATTCACCGCTCTCGTTCAAGGCTCGAACTAGCTGCTTGAGCTCTTCTTTAGAGAAATTTTGGTACATGGCTGACACGTCACCTAGAGTTGAGGAGACAATCGGAGAGTCTGATCACACCGAGAAAACTGTGCCCTCTTCGCACTTGATTGCTCAGATTCAATTATATGCATTGAAACACATTTCGTTATCACATCGAGTAACGCAAAAGCATCTGCAAAAGAAAATATCTATATATATTGTGTTACGAAATGCTCACATTTCCACAATGCGTTTCCCCTCACATTCGTACCCCAGAATGTGCGCTGGGTGCTCACCAGCCCTCACCCAAAACCAGAGAAACAATCCAAGCGGCCTGGACATGTAGAGTAGGACGAAACGTGACTATCGACAAAAGCAACCAAACAAACAAAAAGGAAGTCCTGCATCACACAAAACAAATCTGGCAAACAGAAACTCAACCGGCGTCCAAATGCACTCAGTCTGCTATTCTCTAGAAAAACCCCATCCTACTGAATTAGGAACCCTTCTGTTTCGGCTTGCTTCTCCTTAGTGCTGCTTCTCGTGCTTCATGCAACGCCCGTCTTTCTACTCGTGCTTGACGTTGGTTCTTTTTTTAGCTCCAGGATCATGGCTTCAGGATTCAACTGGTATTCCCCCCACGGACAGTGCCGCCCGCAAGAGATCTGCCGGATCCTGCTGGTCCTTTGTTAGAGCGTCTGCGAGCATGAGTTGTGTTGGGCACCACCTAACCACGAGACCTGTTCGAGACATGCACTGTTTGAGTATTGCAAGGTCTATTGCTATCCTTTTATCTTCGCACTTACTAACTGATGACATGGATATCATATGGTCATATAAACTCTTGCAATCTGTGACACCCACGACAGGAACTAGGTCCAGCTCATCACGGCATTTCAAATTTGACACTCGTGGCTGTGTTTGCACTTGCTCTGTTGTCCGAAGATCAAATCTGCCATGCTTTGCTTCTGCTATGAGCAAGCTCATCCACTCAGCCGTAGCACTAGCTGTCGTGAAAGCCTGTGCCTCCCCAGCTAGTGTCGAGGCCACCACTCTTGGCAATTTGTATGACCGCCAAGCAAACGGAGACCAGCTTGCTGCCTCATTCTGTACTAGTCTTTTGCTCACAAAAGCTGCAATGAACCCTGCCTGTGTCTTGTGTTGCTTTGCATTACCAAAACCTGCATCTGAATGAAAACAGATAGCCAAATCTTCCCATGGAATGCTCTTCACTGTAACATCAGTGTGACTAAACTGTTTAGCCCGATGCACCAGTTGGTTTGCAAACAACAAATCCCGAACTCTAGGTTGAGGAAAGCTCTGTTGTGAAAAGGAGGTCTGAACGCACAGATCTGGTCTTGACTGCGAACTAAGCCAATTGCATGCTCCGTTGATTGCCCTCAAGGCTGAGATCTCCCGGTCAGTTGC